ACTACCCCACCCAGCAGACACATTCCCAAGCCAGCAGCCTTGAGCCTACATCCCATGCCTAAGAAACAGCCCTGTGGGCTACCCCAGCAGACATGCACGCAGGCTAGCCAAGAAGCTGTAAGACTGAAAACTTGTCAAGTCTTGGAGAGAGGTAGACATCTGGGTCCAGGAAGCTCAAAGAATCCCACACAGATTCAACCCAAACAGATCCTCTTCAAGACACATTACAGTCAAATTGTTGAAAGTCAAAGCAAAGAAAGAATTCTAAAAGATGCAAGAGAAAAATGTCAAGTCACATATAAGGAAATCCCCGTTAGAATAGCAATGAATTTTTCAGAATAAACGTTACAGGCCTGGAGAAAATAGGATATTTTGAAAACACTGAGAGTATGCCATCCAAGAATAGTATACCCAGCCAAGATAAGCTTAAGAAATGAAGGAGAAATGACATCTTTCACAGACAGGCTATAACGAAGGGAATTCATCACCACTATATCAGCTTACAAGAAATCCTCAAGAAAGGGTTATAACTGGAAGTGAAACGATAATAACCACCATCATAAGAACATGTGAAACTATAAAACTTACTGGCAGAGCTGATAATAAAGGAGAAAGGGAAAGAAATCAAACCTTATGAAACACCCCACCACAAAAATAAACAATAAGAAAGTAAGGAAGAAAGAATATACGAAACAACCAGAAATCAATTTTTAAAATGACAGGTCTAAGTCCTGACCTATCAATTATAACCATGAATGTAAACAGATTAAATTCCCCATTTAAAAGCTATAGACTGGTTGAATGGATGAAAAACAAGACCCAACAATATGTTGCCTATGAGAAACTCGTCTTACCTGCAAAGACATATACAGACTGAGAGTGAAGAGACAGAAAAGGACATTCTATACAAAAGAAAGCCAAAAGCAAGCAAGAGTAGCTAAACTTATATCAGACAAAACAGACTTCAAGTCAAACATACAAAGAGAAAAAGAAAAATAATGTATAACACAGTGATCAATTCAGCAAGAGAAAATAACAATTAAAAAATATATATGCACCCAACACTGAAGCACCCAGATATATAAAGCAAATATCATTAGATCTAAAGGGAGAGATAGACTCCAATACAACAATAGTTGGAGACTTCAACACCGCACTCTCAGCATTGGACAGATCATCTAGACTGAAAATTAATAAAGCACGTCTGATTTAAACTGTACCATAGACCAAAAGGACCTAATAGTCATTCGCAAAACATTTAACCCAACAGCTGCAGAATATACATTATTTCTATTAGCACAAGTAATATTCTCCAAGACAAACCATCTGTTAGGACATAAAACAAGTCTCAAAAATGTTTTAAAAATAGAAATTATATCAAGTATCTTCTCTGATCACAATGGATAAAAAAACCTAGACACTGATAATAAGAGAAACATTGAAAAACATTGCACCAAAGCAAAAATAAACCAAACTCAAAATTATGAGAAAGAATAAAGATCAGAGCAGAAATAAACAAAATAGAGACACATATATACACAAAATAAACAAAAATATATTTATATACACACAAAAGATCAATGAAACAAAAAGTTGATTTTTTGAAAAGATAAATCTACAAACCATTAGCTAGAGAGACTAAGAAAAAAGAGAGAAGACCCAAATAAGTAAAATTGGAAATAGAAAAGGAGGTGTCACAACTTATACCACAGAAATACCAAGGATCATTAGAGATTACTGTGAACAACTAACTATATATCAATCAATTTAAAAACTTAGAGAAAAATGGATACATTCCTGGATACATATAACCTATCAAGATCAAGACAAGAAGTAGTAGAAAATGGAACAGACCAATAACAAGTAATAATGTTGGGTCAGTAATAAAAAGCCTTCCAACTAAGAAAAGCCAAAGACTGATGGATTCACCAGTGAATTCTACCAAATCATTAAAGCACAGTTAATGCCAATTCTTCTCAAACTATACCAAAAAATTGAAGCAGAGTGAATTCTTCCTAATTCATTCTATGAGGCCAGCATAACCCTGATGCCAAAACTGGAAAAAAAAAAAAAAACAGACACACACAAGAAAGAAAGAAAAGTACAGGCCAATATCCCTATGAACATAGATACAAAAATCCTCCACAAAATAATATCAAACAGAAACCAACAACACGTCAAAAAAAATAATAAACCATGATCAAGTGGAACTTACCAGGAATACAAGGATGGCTCAATATATACAAATCAGTGAACATCATACACCACATAAATAGAATGAAGAACAGAAACCATGTAATCATTTAAATAGATGCAGAAAAATGATTTTTATTAAATTTAACATCACTTCATTTTTTTTTTTTTTTTGAGACAGAATCTCACCTTCTTGCCAGGCTGGAGCACAGTGGCACAATCTTGACTCACTTCAAACTCCACTTCCCAGGTTCAAATGATTTTCCTGCCTCAGCCTTGTGAGTAGCCAGGACTACAGATGTGTGCCACCACACCCAACTAATTTTTGTATTCTTAGTAGAGTCGGGGCTTTACCATGTTGGCCAGAATGGTCTCAATCTCTTGACCTCATAATCTGCCCACCTCAGCCTCCCAAAGTGCTGAGATCACAGGCATGAGCCATTGCCCCTGGCTGATTTTTAAAAATCTCAATAAATTAGGTATAGAAAAAAGTACCCTAACATAAGAAAACATATGACAAAACACACCACAACTAATATACTGAACAGGAAAAAACTGAAAGATTTTCCTCTAAGAACTAGAATAAGACAAGGATGCCTATTCTCACAACTCTTATTCAACATAGTATTAAAAGTCCTAGCCAGAGCAATTAGGCAAGAGAAAAAAATAAAAGTCATTTAGATTAGAGAAGAGGAAGTCAAATTGTCACTGTTTGTAGATAACATTATCCTATATATTGAAAAATCTTGAGGACTCTACCAAATAACTCTGAGAGCTGATATATCAATTCAGTAAAGTTGCAGGATACAAAACCAATATACAAAAAATCAGTACCGTATTTTTACATAAACAACAAACAAGTTGATACAGAAATTTAGAGGCAAACTCATTTATAATTGCTACAGAAAAATAAAATACCTAGGAATGAATTTAACTAAAGGGGTATAAAACCTTCACAAAAAAAATTAGAAAACACAGCTGAAATATATTGAAGAGAACACAAACAAATGAGAATACATCCCATGCACATGTTTAACAATATTACTCATACTAACATACTGCTCAAAGTTATCTACAGATTCAATGCAATTTCTATCAAAATACTAATAACATTCTTTACTTAAACAGAAGAAAAATTGTAAAATGCACATGGAACCACAAAAGATCCCATATAGACAAAGCAATCCTGAGATAAAAGAATAAAGCAAGAGACATCAACAGACTTGAAAATATTTAACACAGTTGTCGTAAGTAAAACAGCATGGTACTGTCATTAAAACAGAGACATAGACCAATGCAACAGAATAGATAACTCAGAAATTAATTCACACATCTACAGCAAACTGATTTTTGACAAAAGTGCCAACACTCATTATAAAAAGGACAGTCTCTTCAATAAATGATGCTGGAAATACTGACTATCCATATGCAGAAGCATGAAATGATAACCTCACCACTCACTCTATATAAAAATCAACTCAAAATGGATCAAGGACCTAAATGTGATACCTGAACCTCTAAACACCCCTAAAAGAAAACAGGAAAAATGCTTCAGGGCATTGTTCTTGGTAAATATTTTGTGAATAAGAACTCAAAAGTACAGACAACAAAAGCAAAAATAAACAAATGGAAATATATCACACTAAAAAGCTGCCACACAGCAATAGCAACAAACAATAGATTGAAAAGACAAATTACAAAATAGGATAAAATATCTGAAAACCATTCATTTCACAGAGAATCAATATTACAGAACATACAAAGAATTCAAACATCCCAATGGCATAAAATGAACAATCTGATTACAAAAGGAGAAAATGATCTAAAAACATACTTTTCAAAAGGAAACATACAAACGGCTAATAAATATGAAAAAATGCTCAGTATCACCAATAATCAGTGAAATGCAAATCAAAAACACAATAGGGTATCATCTCACCCCAGTTAGGATGGCTATCATCAAAAAGATAAAAAATAACAAAATGCTAGCAAGAATGTGGGGAAAGGGGAGCTCTTACACACTGTTGATGGAAATGTAAAACAGTATAGCCACTATGGTAGACAGTATGAAGGGTCCTCAAAAAACTGTAAGTAGAATTAATTACCACATGATCTAGCAACCCCACTACTGAACATTTATCTAAAGGAAAAAAAATCAATATATTGAAGAGACATCTGCACTCCCATGTTTATTGCAGCACTTTTCACGGTAACCAAGACAGGAAATCAACCTAGGTATTCAACAACAGATCAATGGATAAAGAAAAGAGGGGATATATACACAATGGAATATTATTAGGCCATAATAGAGGAGGAGGAAATCCTGTCATTTGTGACAGCATGAATGGAACTGGAGGGTACTAAGTGAAATAAACCAGGAAGTTAAAGTTAAATGCAAAGTTCTCACTCATGTGAAAGCTAAAAATAGTTGATCTCATAAAAGTAAAAAGTACAACAGAGGATACTTGAGGATAGGAAAGGTAGCGTAAGGGAGAAATAGGAAGATATTTGCTAAAGGATACAAAATTACAGTTCAATTGGAGGAATAAATTCTAGTGTTTTATACCACTGTAGGATGACTATAGTTAACAATAATATGTTATATAGTTTCAAATAGCTAGGAGTATATTGAATGTTCCCGACACAAAAAATGTATATAAATGTTTGAGATGATATGCTAATTACCATGATCTGATCACTGTGTATGAAATCATCACTATGTATCCCATAAATATGTACAATTAGCATGTGCCAATTAAAAAATTAAATTTTAAAAATTTATCCAGTTGATTGTTGCTAAGCTCTTGAAAACATCACAGACAGACCTCTAATGGGTTCATATGCCTAGAAGCAGAGTCACCTAGCAGGGCTAAGTTGATTAAGAACAGGCTGGCTTGACCTTTATTTTGCTTTGTTTAGTACTAGGAACAAAGCAAGCTGAAACAGTTTGTGCATTAAGTTTGAAAAGCCCTGAGCAATAAAAGTAAGGCCTACTTAGACAATACTGAGGTAGATAAAAATATCTTACAACAGTGATGATTTCTGAGAAGGATTAAGTGGTGATTTCCGATTCTTGGCTCAATGGGGAGAAGTGATCCGTTGTCTGCTACAGGAAATGATCATCATTGTGCCCTGGGACCCACCACAGTGCACACAGCGGCATTGTGGGTAGTGCTGCCTACCACAGTTCTGATTGGGTCAGAAGGTAGGTAACCAACTTACGTTTATCCACATAATCCTTTTTCTGGAAAATTTAGAAGAAAAAGTAAAAAGATAAATCGCTCACCTAGAGTTTGGATATTTGACCTTGAAATCAGGAGATTGAAGTGGCCATGTTTCCTGGAACGGGGCCAGTGTTGAAGAGAACATCAGTCTACCCAAATAGAGATGAAGCCACCATGGAGAGGTGAGGTCCTGCGAGTATCTAACAGTTCAGTTCTAATCTGTTCCGGGCATCCTTCTGTACTCCTGTCCTTGGGTTCTGTAAGACTTTCCACTATCATTTCAATAAGAAGGCTATCTGAAATTGGCTTCTGTCACTTGTGACCAGAAGAGGATGCTTTTATTTGTTTTTATTTAAATATAGTATAGGATTTTTACTTTTATATTCACAATTTTCTTTGCATGTACATTTGAAATATGTTGTAACTAATAAATTCCACTTTATGTGAAAATAGAAATTTACTATAATATAAATTTACTTTGATTCACCTCTTCTCTCCACTTTCTTACTTAATTTTCTTGAGATAAGGTCTCACTCTACAGGCTGGAGTGTAGTGGTAGGATCTCAGCTTACTGCAACCTTCACCTCCTGAGCTCAAGTGGTCCTCCAGCCTCAGCCTTCTAATAGTTGAGACTACAGGCATGCACCACCAGGCTGGCTCAGTTTTCTACTTGTAGTAGAGACAGGGTTTCGCCATGTCGCCCAGCCTCATCTCAAACTCCTGGGCTCAAGTGATCTGCTTGCCTCAGCCTTCCAAAGTTCTGGTCTCACCACAAGGCCCTCTCTCCACTTTTCTAATAACGGTCAATATAACCTGCATGTGACAACCAAGAATGCTGACACTACTGAATTAATTGGGTTCTTAATACTTAAATATTCTCCACAGAAAAACTTGATTTAAAAACATTTAAATTTGTCATCCAAGTTGTCAGAATTTGGATACATTTGTATGTGTTTACTGCTCTTTCACCTTTCTTACATTTTAACTTATACTTCATGGCATCAGTAGCTAGACTATGTTTTGGTAAAGTGTTTCAAGAATTTTACATTGTAGTAGGTAATCTGAATTTTTCCTTTTTCTTTCTTTCTTTTTTTTTTTTTTTTTTTTTTTTTTTTTTTTTTTTTTTTTTTTTTTTTTTTTTTTTTTTTTTTTTTTNTTTTGAGATGGAGTCTCGCTCTGTTACCCAGAATGGAGGGCATTAGCACAATCTCGGCTCATTGCAACCTCTGCCTCCCAAAGTGGTGGGATTACAGGCGGGAGCCACCACGCCCAGTCTTGAATCTTTCAATGGCTTGAAACAATATAAGAATGATACCATAAGAGTGTAGTGTTTGCTATCAGTGCCTAGCCCTATTCCTCAGACTGTGTAATTCTAACAACAGACACCTCCTAATGCCAGAATTTATATCTCTGTGCTCAGAGAATTTTTTCCAATACAAAGCTAATCTTCCTTGCCTGTGCAGTAGCCTAAAAGTACCAAAGAATTAACAGTTTGACAGAGAGGCTCTCAAGCAATGACAAATGATTGACGTGAGATGACATAACTACTCTAGCTTCTCCACCTTTCAAATGGAATAATTCTGAAACGTGGTTTTTAAAAAAATGTTTACAGTTAAAACACACATAACATAGAATTAACTATTTAAATTTATAATACAGTGGCATTCTGTCCATTCACAGTGGTGTATGACCAACACCTCTATCTAGGTCCAAAATATTTTCATCTCTAGGAAAGGACACACTATACCATAAAGCAGCCATTCCCCATTGGCAACAAGTAATTTGCTTTCTATTTCTATGCATTTACTTAGTCTGAATATTTCTTACAAGTGAAATAATATAATTCATGACCTTTTGTGTCAGGTTTCTTTCACTAATTTTTTTTTGAGACAGAGTCTTGCCCTATCACCAGGCTGGAGTGCCGTGGCATGATCTTGGCTCACTGCAACCTCCACCTCCCAGTTTCAAGCGATTCTCCTGCCTCAAGTCTCCAGAGTAGCTGGGACTACAGGCACGTACCGCCATGCCAAGCTAATTTGTGTATTTTTAGTAGAGAAGGATTTCACCATGCTGGCCAGGATGGTTTTAATCTCTTTACCTTGTGACCCACCTGCCTTGGCCTCCTAAAGTGCTGGGATTACCAGGTGTGAGCCACTGCACCCGGCCAGCATGTTTTTGAGGTTCATCTGTGTTGCAAAATTTATCAGTACATTTTTTATGGCAGAGTAGTATTCTATTGTATGGTTATACCATTCTTGTTTATCCATTGATTAGTTGATGGAAATTTGGGCTGTTTCCATCTTTCAGCACGATGAGGAACATCTGTGGACAATCATGGCAATACTCATTTAGGATATAGTATTATATTATGTTCACTTATTTTTGATTATTTGTGACTTAGTTGTAGAACTGCTAGGTCATACGGAAATCCTACATTTAAGTTTATGAATAATTTCCAAACTGTTTGCCACAACAGCCGCACCATTTTACATTCCTACCAGCAAAGTATGAGAGTTCCACATCTTTCACATCTTTGCCAACACTTACTACTTTCTGCTTTTTTTAAAAAAAGTCTAGCCATCCTTATAAGTGTAAATTGGTATCTCATTGTGGTTTTCATTTAAATTTCCCCTAATAGTTAATGATGTTGAGCATCTTTTAATGTGGTTAATGACCATTGTATATCCTCTTTGAAGAAAGGTCTATTCAAGTCTCTCGCCCATTTTAAATTGGATTGTCTTTTTGTTACTTACAAGAGTTATTTACATATTCTGAGTACTAGACATTTATCAGATATGATTTCTCTAATTCCGTAGGTTGTTTTTATGTTCTTAATAGTGTCCTTTGTTGCACAAAAGCTTTTAATTTTTATTAAGTCCAATTTATGTATTTTTTCTTTTGTTTCTTGTGTTTTTGTTACACCTTAAGAATCTATTGCCAAATCTAAGGTCATCAAGATTTTGAAGCATGTGTTCTTATACTGTTTCTCAATGTTTCCAAATTAGATTAACTCCAGTGGTAGCTGCCTTAATATTTAACATTTTAATGACTACATTCCTTGTCTCTCTGTTCCACTTCCCACTCACCTCCTGATTTTCTCTATACCTCCAAAATAAAGAGCTTGCACTGAAGTGCGCTGGCTCAAGATCTGATCCTAGAAGCAGATGAACTAAGACAACCAGGATTGGGGCTTGACATCTTTTTCTCAAAACCCCACTGAAATTTCATCATTTTCTTTGGGCACTCTGCATTGTAAAGAAGAATGATGCGATCTTTTCTCTATGCAGGTATTTTAAGCCTCCTTTAAAAATCCATAAACCAAAAAACGAAGCTGTATATTCATATTAAGTGGGATTTCTCTTTATTATTTTTTTCTAGATTGTGGCACTACCTTTTTCTTCTAAACTTTGATATGCCAAAAAGCAAGATTACAACAAATTTGGTTTAAAGATCTAACTGGTTTTTATTTGCAATTCTAGAATTGAGTAACATCTCAATCTATAAAACAGAATAGGTATTCTAATGTAGGTAATCTCAGAAGACGTTGATTTTATAGAAAAAGACTGAAGAACGCAGAGATAAGGACTGAAAAATAGATTTGGTCATTTCAAAGTTACTTTCCTTATAGAGTTAAAACAAAGGGAACTTTCTTATCATGACGGCTCAGGTAAACTGGGTCCTTCTGATTGGTTATTGTGACTCTCCTGATTTTCTGGAATTCTGGCCCATTTCAGAGTTCACTTTAAGTAGCAACTAGCAGTAAGAATTCAATTCTTGTGTGTCCTTTGTAGGGACATGGATGAATCTGGAAACTGTCATTCTCAGCAAACTGACACAAGAACAGAAAATCATACACTGCACATTCTCACTCACAGGTGGGTGTTGAACAATGAGAACACATGGACACAGGGAGGGGAGCGTCACACACTGGGGTCTCTTGGGGTGGAATAGAGGAGGGACAGCAGGGGATGGGGAGGTTGGGGAGGGATAACATAGGGAGAAATGCCAGATATAGGTGACGGGGGGGTGTTGACAGCAAACCACATTGCCATGTATGTGCCTATGCAACAATCCTGCATGTTCTGCACATGTATTCCAGAACCTAAAGTGCAATAAAATACAATTTATACACACACACACACACACACACACACACACACACACACGTATTCAATTCTGGTTTGGTCTGGTGTACTGGTGGGGCTTCATTCAGAAGCTTAGTCCAAAATAATGGCCTCTTATGAATTTATTTGAAATGTATTTTGGCCTGAAAAGGTTTTCTTATATGTTGTTGACCATTGCTTTTACAGTTTCTAAAAAATTATTTTACAGAGAAAGAATTATAAATAAACTTAATCTTTAAGTTTTGCCCAGTATAATTCTTGTCTTCATTTTCTGCCACAGTGATTCTACTCTGAATTGCTTCTAACATGAATTTTAAGCACAGCATAGTAGTTTTGGTTTGACTACATTTATTTCTCTTCTGTTAGACATTTCTTATATTTCACTGTTTCTTTCATGTAATCCTAATTTATCATATTTTGTTTAAAACATAAAAGAAATTCATTCTAAAAACTTCCATTTTGCAGAGCAAAACCTCTGTAGGTATACTCTGCTCAATTATTAGAACTATAGTTTTCTTTGCTTCAGAATTGATATACAGGCCCTATACTGTCATTTTTATTTTCATTCTTCTTTAAGCAAAAGTAGCTTCATTCAGATCAACAGAATGCAAACGAGCAAGTGCTGCTCTACTCTGAACTTCATGAGGTTCCCTTCTCAAACCCGCAGCTCAAGGGCAAATAGTTTTTATAGGTCCAAGTAAAATTTATAGTCTTTAATCATTAACTTATACTTTTTAGACTGCTATCCCAGGCTGAGGAAAGAGCTGCTCTGGCTCTCCTTGCCTGCTTTCTAACAGTGAGGAGGTGTTTTTATCCTAAGTGATATGAAAGCCCACAGGCTTTTCCTGTCTCTTGCCCTCCCTCTTGCTTAGTGCTGTTATCACAAGATAGAGAACATCACTATTATTCCCCACTCTCTACCATGTTATACCTCAAAGGACTTGCAGTTTTAATCTGTAACATGTCTGGGGGAAAAAAAAAAAGTTGTTATGTGTGAGTATGGGGAGGAATCAAAGGGAGAGCGAGGAAGGCTGGGGGGATCCGAGAGCTGGGAAGGGTCTGACAAAGTTTCCTTTCCAGAATTTTGCACATGAGTTGATTTCTTATTCTGATCCATGTGGATTGTGACAGGGAATTATTTCCGTCCAGAAAAACCTCTGTAGAGAGCTGGCAGTCCTTAGCTTTCGTTTGTCTCATTTTTGTGCATTTTTATGCTTCTATCAATAGGAAGTTGGAAAGGGTCACATCCCAAAATTGAAAAGCAAAGCCAAAAGGCTGCAAATGAAACTATGAGGTTCTATGTCTGTGTTTGGAAGAAAGTGGGAGGTGAAAAGTGTGTAAGGACTTCAATAGGATGCACTCTGTTCACTGCTGCCTTCTTCAGATTTGAAGATCACGGATGGGGTTTGATAATGTGGTGCCCTAGCCCAAGGGAAGAAGACAATAAAATAATGAAGGAGGAACCTAAGAGCAGCTAAGCATGCCTAAAGTAGAAATATATTTCTAGCTCATTTCTTCCCCACTCATAACTATTGAAAAGCAGCTGGCTGTTTCTTTAATTTAATCCTTTGTCTATCTTAGAGTTGACAAAGCAGGTTCTATTTAAAGGAGCCTTTTACATTTTCAAAGGAGAAAAAATGGGGTGGGGGTGGCATATTATATGAGGAAACTTTAAAAACTCTTCACAAAATATATATGTTTCAGGAGAAAAGTATCAGGGGAGAACCAAACGAGTTCAATGTTTCCTTGTTTCTGCAGTCTCTTGACCCGAGTTCTAATCTTGAATCACTACCACACGACCTTGGCAGGTCACATCATTTATTTGGACCCCAGGTACTTTTCTGATCTTCTGGAATTCTTCCTGGGGCTTTAAATGTGTACATCTTCCACTCTGAATTTCCTCTTGTGACCTGCCAAGTTCACAAATAACACGGGAGAGACTGTCATACTGCATTTAGTTCTGTAGGATCACCAGCACGTGGGTGGATTCAAATCTATGATCTTACTATTTCATTTAACCCAGATGCTACATTTCTTCTGCTTTCTCAGCTTAAGTGAGGTACAGACTTGGACTGAGATGAACTGGCTTCATCCCAAACTGGAGAAGAAAGATATTACCTGGCAAAAACAAATACCTGGAGGAAGAGACACAGTTTGACTGTCCCTTCTATTGAAAGCACATGTCTAGCTTTAGCTGGTAACCTCTTCAGCCTTAAAGCTATATTTAATTCATAATCAGAGCACTGGAAGAGACAGTAAGAATTCACCTCTTGTGGTCCTTTGAGTGTTATATAAAAATTGTATTTTCCCAGATAAATTTTGGTAAACCATCCATCCACCTTTGATTAGCCATTATAATGCAAGCAACCTTTGACATAGATGACCCATATCAGCAATTAACCCATTAGTTCAGTATATTAGACCTTGAGATGTATTATGTTATTCTTTCCTCGTCACCTTAAACTTCTGTTCAGGAAAAGAGAAAATTTGCATATTTCACCCAAAGATAACTACTTTTTCATATTTTAATATGTTAAATTAAAATGTATTTCACAATTGATGTTTTGTCATAATTTGTATTAGCTGAACCTTAGAGGTAATGTTATTAAAATATTAAAAATTATTACATCTTAAAGTTGAAAGTGTCTTAGATTATATTGAATACAGAAGTTGTAATTTCTTGGAAACTTTTTGTCTTGATAGTAATGGTGTTGAGGAGGCAATAGAAAGTGAACTTAGGAAGTAAACTTGAAAATTAGAAATTAAATTACCATTTAAATTAAATGGTATGTGTTTGCCCTGTCTTGCCTTTGGTCAGCTTTTTGAGTGCAGAAGTCAACTGTATATTTTACTTTTTCAATATAGGACCTCATTCATTATGAGTACTTTTATCTACATTGTCATAACACAAGTAGTCATTCGTTGTGAGAAGACAAAAATCACTGTAAAGAAAAGAAATACCATTAAATTTCCAACTTACTATCCGTACTGACCAAATTTATATAACAGCAATCTTTCGCATTACCTTATACAGGAATTTTTCTATGATAAACCAAAATATTAAATTAGGAAAATTCATTAAGTATATGTGTAATCAAGAACCTCTTACGCCAGTGATTTTCAAACTTGATTGCACATGAAAATCACTATGAAGATTTTAGAAAATACCTGTGAAGTCTGGACTTCATCACACACTAAATTAAAGCAGAGATTCTGGGAGTAGGGTCTTGGCATTTTTAAAATATGCTTCTCTAACAACAGAGAAAATGAACAGTTGTATGTGAACAAATTGGATAACCTAGATGAAATAGACAAATTCCTGGAAACACACAACCTATCAATACCAAATCCTGAAGAAATAGAAAATCCCAATAGACCCATAACTAGCAAGGAAACTGAAGCAGTAATAAAAAACCTTCCAGCAAAGGAAACCTTTCCAGGACAAATTGGCTTCATTGGTGAGTTCCTTCAACCATGTAAAGAAGAATTAACATAAATCCTGATCATGTTTTTCTTCAAATACATTGAAGAGAACATTTCCTAATTTATTCTAAGAGGCCAAAATTACACTGTTAGCAAAGCCAGAGACACTATAAGAAAACTACAGACCAATATCTTTGATGAGTAATGAAATAAAAATCCTCAATAAAATACTAGTAAACAAAATTCAACTGCATATTAAAAGGATTGTACACCATGATCAAGAGGGATTTCATCCTGAAATGTAAGAGTGGTTCAATATTTGAAAATTAATCAATATAACACATTACATCAACAGAATTAAAGGGAAAAAAAATGACCATTTCAATTAATACAAAAAAAGGCCTTTGACAAAATTCAAAACCTTTCCTAATAATATGCTCAATATTAAGAATGGAAAGAATCTATCTAAACATAGTAAAGTCCTACCTGAGAAACACACAGCTGACGTTATGCTCAATCATGAAAGACTGAAATCTTTTCCTTTAAGATGAGGAACAAGCAAGCCTGCTTTCACCATTTGTCTTTAACACAGTACTGGCTGTCCTAGCCAGAGCAATTAGCTAAGAAAAAAATGGAATTTAAATTGGATAGAAACAACACAATTATATCAGTCACAGGCAACATAATCTCATATATAGGAAACCCTAAAGATTACAAACAGACACATACAATAGTTAGAACTAAAAAATGAATTAAGCAATTTCGAAATCCAAAATTAATACTCAAAAATCAGTGGCATTTCTGTACTGTAACAATATACAATCCAAAAAAGAAATTAAGAAAATTTTACTTATAATAACACCAAAAACAGTAAAACACTTATGAATACACTTAACCAAAGAGGTGAAAGACTTTTACAGTGAAAATTACAAAATGTTGCTGAAGGAAATTGAAGAAACAAGTAGAAAGATATTCCATGTTCATGAATTTGAAAAATTAGTATTTTTAAGATATCAATAACACTCAAGGCAATAAAGAAAATGTGGTACATATATACCATGGAACACTATGCAGCCATAAAAAAGAATAAAATCATACTCTTTGTAGCAACATAGGTGGAGCTGCAGGCCATTATCCTAAGCAAATTAACACAGAAAACCAATACCAAATGCTGCATGTTCTCACTTATAAGTGAGAGCTAAACACTGAGTACACATGGAGACAAAGAAGTAAACTACAGACA